CCCCGCCCAGGGGCAGGCTGGGGCCTGGGTCTCCGGGCGGCCGGCCGCACGCGCCGGCTCGTGGCTCCGCCTCCCGCCGCTCCGGCGCCCAATCCTGGCCTGTGTGCCGTCTCGGCCCGCCCTCTGGGCGCCCGTTGGAGCGCTGGCTGCCCAATCCCGAGGCTGGCCCCGCCTCCGTTCTACCTGCCCTACCCGAGCGTCCTCCCTGGGGGCCTGGCTCCCGCCTCCCGGCTCGGCTCCGGGTTCCCAGTCTCATCCTTAGGATTTGCTCCCTTCCCTACCTCTCCGGAGGTGCTGGTCCCCACGTGAGATTCCCACTTTACGCACCACTCGCGGGGCCCCTAAACTTCCTGGCTCCTGAGGAGCGGGCAGTGAAAGCCCTCACGTAGGTTGAGGACCTAGGATTGGAAGTGTCAATCTTGAGTGGCGTAGGTGCCCTGTTTTTGGAACTGGGGATTGAACTCAGGTCCTTGGGCTTGCAAGCGCTTATTCTACTGAGCCATCTCCCCAGCCCCCATGCTCAGCTTCTTTTACATATTTTCCCTCCCTGGGGATGAAACCCACTCGACCACTGAACTAAGCACACAGTCCAACATTTAAAATGCTTAGGAGAAAAGAAAAAGTCAAAGCAGTCATATAAGCTCTTATGTTGGTGCCATTGCGTGGCCACGGTGGGGCCTGGAAGACCGAATTGAAGGCAGCCCCAGTGAGCAAGGTGTATTGAGATCTGGTGTGCTCTAAGTAAAAAACAGGCACGGGGAAGGGTGTCTCCTGCCCAGGGTCGTGGACACTGCTGCTGCAGCAGCTGCATTGTGGATGTGGAAGAGGCAGCCCAGACAGGGTGGCAGGGAAGAGGGAGGCCCCGTGGCATCTGCTGAGGCACTGGTCTCAGGCAGCAGGGTTGTGGGCAGCCAGGCTTAAGGTCAGCCCTGTGAGGTTCCTGTCACCGTAAACCAAGTGCCCAGAATTTAGCATCTTGAACCACGCTTCCCTGTTTTTTATTTTTGGCAGAACCGGTGATTGAACTCAGGCCCTTGTGCTTGCCAGGCCTTGTGCTTGCCACTTACTCTACTGAGCCGTCTCCCCGGCCCCCACCTTTCCCTGTTTCTGAGGGTCAGGAGCCGACAGTGTTGCACTGAGTCCTTCAGGCCAGCCTCATGAGACTGCAATCAAATCCAAGAACCCCTTGGACACAGGCCTCCTTTCCACAGTGGTATATGTTTGGACAGAAACCACACACATCCTCCCAGAGACTGTATTAATTGAGTTTTTGGAGACGGGTTCTTACTACATAGTTCAGAGTGGCCTTGAACTCACTGCATAGCCCAAGCTGGCCTTTAGTTTGCACTGATCCTCTTACCTCAGCCTTCAGAGTGCTGAGATTACAGACAGGTGCCACCACCACCGCACTTTAAATCTTTTCTAGACAGCTTAGAATTCCTGATATAGCATAAACACTGTGCATATAGTTGTCCTGTATTGTTTAGGAAATAGTGGCAGGCAATCAAAGTCCACAGGCATCTGTTACAGGCATAAACTTTTCCCAAATATTTCCCATCCCTGGTTGGTCGAATCTAAAGATACAGAATCAGGGCTGGCCATACAGGGTGGGAGTCCCAGGGGCTTGGGAGCATGGGGGGCCACTTAGAATTCTGCCTGCCCTTCCAGACCCCCTGCCTGACCTCTGTACTATCTGGCCACGTAACCCCAGGCCGGCAGCCTTACCACTCTGAGCCTCAGTCTTCCTCTGTGAGATATGTGATATTACCCCACCTCCCTCCAAGGGCAGGTGACCAGCAGGAACAGCGCAAGCCAAAGGCCAGCTGACACTGCTAGCTGCTGGGGTAGGGGATGAAGGGCAGGCAAAGTCAGAGGCAGCCATGGTGGAAAATACCGGAAATTCCGGCACTCGGTAGGCTGAGGCAGGAGGATCACTACAAGTTCCAGACTAGCCTAAACTGTATACCCAGACCCCATCTCATAAACAGCAGGGGGCTGAGGATACAGCTCAGCAGCATAGCACCTGCCTGGCAAGCTGGATGTTATGAGTTCAATTCCTGAAAGAAAAAAAGAACTCTACCCCAGGCAGAGGAGTTGCTGTCATTGCTCCAGCTGGCCCAGCCTTGGCCATACAGTGACCCTCACTGCCTCTCTCTGTTACAGGAAGCCTTGGGAACAGGTCCCCAAAAAACCAAAGCATAAGAAAAGTAAGTGGAAGACTATTTGCTGAAAAAAAAAAAAAAAAAAAAAAAAAAAAGTAAGTGGAGCCCCAGGTTGGGGGAGCAGGAGGGAAGAGGGTCTGGGGGAGGCAGGGGGTGGGAGTCAATAAGAAGCCAGGTGACAGTGCCCCAAGCTGCACCGTTGAGAGGCCAAAGAGCCAGAGAACCACAGAGCCAGGCTCCAGCCCAGGGCTGCAGGTGGGACGGGATGGGACAGCATAGCTCAGAGCCCCGGAGCTCTGGGCCCCATCCTGGTAGGGGACCATGGGAGTCCACCGGGAGCTGCCAGTGTCCAGGAGCCCCCTTCTTACCATCCTCTAGATGCAGAGTTGGGTAGGAAACCCCAAGGGAGTGGGCAGTGCCGGGCTGGAGGGCAGCTGCCAGAGATGCCCCTGCTACCCCTAGGGGAGATCCCTTCCCCAGCCTCCTCTCCTAGCTTCAAGGGTGGGGATGTACCCCCCACCAAGGTACAGGACCCATTATAGCCACCAGGGTCACCCCTTGGGCACACCTTGTCCCTGTCTTTGCCCCCGCTAGTCCCCTGGAAGCCCTTGGATGGAATCCTGCCCGTGCCCTCACCTGCAGAGGCCACAGGGCCCAGGGAAGTTGAGTCACTCACTGCAGCGACCCAGCTAGGTCAGCGTGGGGCCTGGCGTTGAGCCTAGGCCATGACCCTCTGTGTCTACCACCTCATAGCAGCTTCCTACCCCCCCCCCCAGTGCCCTGTGCCCCCTGCCCAGCCCTGTGAGGCCCTGGGGCAAAAAACAGATTTGTGGGACAGATGAGAAACACTGAAACAAACAGCCCAGGACAGATGCCACTGGAGCCCAGAGACAGTAAGCACTTCATTCTCCTCTGTGATCTAGCACTCAGGAGGCTGAGGCAGGAGGATCACTGGGACTTTGAGACGGGACTGTACAGTGAGGCCAGGCTCAAAAACCAGAAAAAGGACAACTTACAGTTATTGTGCATCTCCTCTCTGCTAGGTTTTATTATTTAGATTGTGTCACAAGTGGTGTCCTTGGCAGGTCCCTGTTGTGTGTATGTCTGGGGAGAGCCTCAGTCTCCTTTGTGAGCTGGGTGCAGGGCTCTGGAGGGCAGTTCCAAGGCCTCATCTCAGGCAGTGGCGCTGTATCTGCAGGACGGCGCCGCAACGTGAACTGCCTAAAGAACGTGGTCATCTGGTACGAGGACCACAAGCATCGCTGCCCCTACGAGCCGCACCTGGCTGAGCTGGACCCCACTTTTGGCCTGTACACTACAGCCGTGTGGCAGTGCGAGGCCGGCCACCGCTACTTCCAGGATCTGCACTCACCCCTGAAGCCCCTCAGTGACTCAGACCCCGACAGTGACAAAGGTGGGTTCAAGTGCCAGCATGGCTGGAGCTGCCTGCTGGGCCTTGCAAAGTGCACAGCAGCTGGGCTGAGACCGCAGCCCGAACCTTGAGAAAGCCCACGCGTGGGAGAGGCAGGCCCCATACACACTGGGAGCTAGGTGCAGGCGTGGCGGGCAGACACTGGCCCCAGGCCTCAAGTGCCAAGTTTTCTTTTTGCTTTTCTGTTTTTGTTTTGTGTTTTGTGTTTTTGCGACAGAGTTTTACTATGCAGTTCAAGCTGACCTTGAACTCACTTTGTAGCCCAAGTTGACCTAGAACTCGCAGTGATCTTCCTGCCTCAGTCTCCCAAGTAGTGGGGTGAGAGTTGTGCACTGCCATGTCTGGCCTTAGGTGGGTTTTGGTTTTTGATTTTTATTCTGTATTTTAGGGAAGGGTCTACAGGGTGTTCAGGGTCTCACTGCTAGATTGGACTCATAGTGATCACCTGATTACAGCCTCCCAAGAGCTGGGATTACAGGTGTGTGCCACCTCGCCCAGTCTCAATAGCTGTCTCAGCGCCCCCAGGGGTGGGGCTGGCAGGCAGGTTGGGGGATTGAATCTTTGGCTCCTGTGCCTGCTTGCCAGCACGTTAATCTGCTGAGCTATTTGACCAGCCCTTGGGTTGGTTTTTTGAGACAGGTTCTCCCTGTGTAGCCCAGGCTGGTCTTGAACTCACAGCCATTCTCCTGCCTCAGCCTCCCATGCTGGGATGACAGGCATATGCCGCCACACCTAGCTTTTTCTGGCCCTGTTTTTATTTTTGCCAGCTCTCCTCTCCCTCAGGTCTGTCACAGTCAGCTCTTCCTCTCCCTCTGTCCTGTTTCCACCTTCCCATACCCCATCCCCTCCAGAGCCAAGCCTCCCTCCTATACCTCAGTCTCTCTCTCCTGCTCCTGTCCTTCCACTGTCACTTCCCTTCTAAAGTGTCCCTGTGCCCACCTTGGTTCCATTTGGCTGACTGCCCATCAAGGACCAGGGGGACACAGTGACCAAGGTGCAGGAGGCAGTGGGCAGTAGTGGAGACCCCATTGGTGGTGAGAGGCTGCTGCCACCTCAGGAGCTGGTGTGGCTGAGAGAAGAGCTTGGGGCCGCTGCCAGGTGCCCTGCTGGGCGCAGTGTGGGGTCAGTCACCAGCCAAGCCTACACTGGCAGGTGGCATGGAGCAGGTGGCATCCCAGCTGGCCTAGGGGAAGCCAGGAGCAAGCGGCACTCCTGCTGGGCACAATGCCCACGGCCGTCCCGTTACGCCTCAGATAGGCTCCCAACACAGAGGTGTCCTATGCTGTCACCAGCACCCCACCCAGCTCTGCCTGTCACCCCTACCCTACCCCTCCAGGCCCCACCCTGTCCTTCCCCACAGCCCTATCCAGACCCCAAGGGTGACATGATGGTCAGGTGGGGGCAGAGCTGCCCCCGAGGAGCCCTTGCATGCAGGCCAACTGTGACAGCCACATTGCCTGGACTTCAGGGTGCACTCTGATCTGCTGGCCACGTCTGCCAGGTATGGTAGTGAGCAGGTGGCCTTGTCCCTGTCCCAGCTCTGTTCCCAGAGCAGCACCTCCTTCCTGCCCCATGCCTGGGGCCCTCCCACCAGGACCGTGGGAAACGAGGAAGACCCAGCTTGGAGTCAACAGTTTGCATGTGCACATGCAGGTGTGTGGCACTGAGGGTGGAAGCACAGACAAGAAAGATCGGCTGGACTGCGTCCCCAACACCGCCTCTTTACTTTGAGACAAGGCCTTACTAAGTCACTGAGTTGCCTAGGCTTGGCTTGAACTTGCATTCTTTCTGCCTCAGCTTCCCAGAATGCTAGGATTGTAAGAGTGAGCCACTATAACCTACAGCCAGGGTTTTTCACTTTATTTGTTGGAAGACAGTATCTCATTCTGTAGTCCCGGCTGGTCTCAAACTTGCAGCCCTCTTGCGTCCTGAGTGCCAGTCTCAGTTGAGTGAGCCCCAGTGCACTCGGTGGCGCCCCCTCCTTCAGGGAACGTGCAGTGCTCAGCCCCCTGCAGGGCCAGAGCCAGAGCCATACAGTGCTCCTGTTAGCAGGACAGGCTGATCCCCTTACCCCTGCGTCAGGGATGGCCATCTCCGTGGCTGTGTCCCTTCCCATCGCTGTAACTAGGACCTGAGGTAATGAGCTTGTAAGGAGGAAAGGTTAATGGTAGCTCCCGGCCTCCCAGCCTGAGCTTCAGTCAAGAGGCCATTGTGTTTAGGCCAGTGGTGCAGCCAGATGACAGCAGAGTGAGTGGCACAGCAAAGGGAAAAGAAAGGGGAGGAGCTGGGCAGCTGCTCCCTTCAAGGCCACGCCCTCAGGGACCTGAAGCCCGCCCACCAGGCCCTGCCCCTTAAGGGCTCCACTGCCTCCCAGCAGGACCATCCCAGGGACCAAGGCGCTGAGGGACACTGGTCCACACACAGCCATTTCCTGGGGCAGTGGGAGAAGAAGGTAATGAGCTCCCACTGTGAGCTCCCCGTTGTCCCTGACTCTGTAGATGGCATTAACTGAAACAATGCCCCAGCACTCCCAGGCAGGTGCTAAGTGATGGCCAGGCACAGGGGGAGGGATCCAGTGACATGCTGTGTTCACACCGATGGAGATCCCCAGGCCACACCTGTGTCGCGAGTTTCTCTGAAGTGCAGTGCCAGAGCGTGCGGTGTGCAAACGATGCGCCCTGGCTGGATATTAGCAGACTCAGCCATTTATTGATTTCAGTGAGGCAGTCTCTGTGGCCTCTGGGCCCTGGGAGCTCAGCCTGGGGGGCCTCTGTCCTCACAAGGGGGAAGCCATTAGTAAGATGAGCTGATACAAGACAGAAGGTGGTGACGAGTGCCTTGGGGAAACGAGAAGCAAAAAGGAGGCTCCCTGAAAAGCTGCCTTCGCTGAGGCATCTGATGGAGGTGAGGGAGGGCTTCGGGTACCAGGCTAAGGGAACTGCAAGTGCAGCAGCCCTGAGGCAGGAACTTCCAGGTGTCACTGAGGAGCAGTGGGGAGAGCGGAGAGGAGGTAGGGGTGACTGCGCAGGGGACCACCACACGCCCAGGGGCCTGTGGCCACAGCGATGGCTTTGGCTGTTACACCTGGCGAGTTGGAAGGATTTTGAAGGGAATGCAGGCTACAGAAGCTCTTGGTCATCCCTAGCTCTTGTGACCAAATAATGTAATTTTATCCCCCACACAAGGTCCAGGGTTCTTGACCACAGGCTGACTTCCTCCTATAGACCCAGGTTCTTTCCACCGTGTGGCTCCAGCCCTCCTTCCAGGTCCTGGCTGGCTGGCTGGACAGAGAAGTAAGAGTCTGGTCCCCCATCTGCTTCAGTTCTATTGGCTGGGATCAGCCACAGACCACACCTACCTACTTCAAGGTACGCTGGGACATGTAGTCCTTCACAGTGCCAGGAAGAAGTGGTGGGTTTGGTCACAGCTGGCTTGTGATGGTCCTCAGGAGCCAGGGGACTGCGGACAAGGGACTGCCTGAAGACAATGGGACTGTGACCAGCATCTGCTGAAGAAGGAGGCAGAGCAGCAGGGCTGTGGCTGGATGAATTTTGAATGTAGCCCCAGTGATTTTTGCTGACAGGTTGGGGATGGGTGTGAAAGAGGATGCAGTAAGCTAAGCCCAGGACTTTGGTCTACGCAGTGGACACAGAGCTGCCAGCCGCCGAGATGGGGACACCTGTGAGCATTCTGAGCCTTTTTGGCAGGAAGGTTCAGTGGGGAAGAGCTGGTGTTGCTAAGTGAAGCGTGAGATCTCTGTGAGAGCCCAAGGGGGACAGTGGGAAGAGGACAAGATGAAAAAGCGTAGAGGTCGGCAGGCAGGCCCAGGCCCGGCCCAGTGCACACGCAGAGCCTCTGGGTTGTGTGCAATTGTAGTAGCCAGGTACTTGAGGCTGAGGCAGGAGGGTCACGAGTTCAGGGCCAGCCATGGCCTACCTGGTGGGACCTTGACTCAAAAAAGCCAAAAAGAAAGAAAAATTAGTTGACCCTCTGTATCCATAGGTTCCATATCTGTGGGTTCCACACTGGTAGGTTCAATCAACCAGGGATAAAAAATATCTCACAAAACAAATTGTGTCTGTTCTGAATATGTACTGATTTTTTATTCTTGTTATTTATCCCCTAAACAATACAGTGTAGCAGTTTGAATTTACACGGGTGTAGATTCAGGGGTGGCACACGCCTGTAACTCCAACACTTCGGAGGCTGAGACAGGAGGGTCATTAGCTTGAGACCAACGTAGTTCAGTGGTATCCTGTCTCAGACAACTGAATGACTTCTTCCTTAGGGTGTGCGTAGATTACCTGAAGCTACCATAGTGTTCCACATAAGGGATGTAGGTCACCTTGCTTTGGTGTCCAGGAGGGTTCCTGGATCCTTGCTCACCCAGGATGTCCGATCTGGTCATTGCCTTCACTTCTTTGGGCAGAGCTTCCAAAACCCCTTGAATTTTCCTAAATGACAGAATAGTTTTTGTTATTCCTAGGTACCCCCTTGGAGACACCCCTAAATCTATGCCAGTGAGATGACTCACAGCCCCATAGGCACCTTGTGGATGTGAGCTGATCCCCCAAAAGTCAAACACAGCAGGTTTATGACACACGCCTGTCATCCCAGCTACTTAGGAAGCTAAGGCAGGAAGATTGCAAATTTAAAGCCAACCTAGGCATCTTCAGGAGGCCTTGACCAAAATAAAAGAGCTGAGGATGTAGTTCAGTGCTTGCTGGGTTCCATCTCGGGTGTCACACACACAGAAAAACGCCAAACATGATCAGGGTGGGAGCACTCAGCCTCCCCCAGCCACACACTGCTCAGGGCCTGTAGGCTCAGTCCAGAGGCCCCAGGCTGGTGGGCCTGTTGAGGTGCCAAGAGGGCGGCACCCTGAGCGTGGCACGGGTCCCCCACAGCCCTTCCCCTGTACTACGCTACGCATCTCCCCCACCGAGCTGATGCTGAGCTATGCCGGTCATAGTAAAGCAATGATCCGGTGGAGAGCACTTTTCTGAGTTCTGTGAGTTACTGTAGCAGAACCCCCAGCTTTCAGCTGGCCAGTCCGACAGACAGGGTCGCCTGGGGCTTGCATTTGCCATTGGAAGCAGGGGTCCGGTCAGCAGAGACCATCAGGTGCCACCACCACATCACGACTTCCCCCCTGTGCTCTCTCCACAGTAGCCAATGGCCTGGTGGTTGGTAGCTCTGACACCTCCAGCTCCAGCTCTGGCTCTGACTCTGAGGAGCCCTCCGAGAGCCACTCAGTCAAGGGCACCCCAGCAGTGACAGCAGCAGCAGTGGCAGCAGCGGTGCCTCCCCCCAGCCCCATGGGGAGCAGTGGGCTCATCACACAGGAGGGCGTGCATATCCCCTTTGACGTCCACCATGTGGAGAACCTGGCCGAGCAGGGTGCCCCACTGTGCTCCAACCCCGCAGCCAGTGGCCCTGAAGCCCTGGAGACAGTGGTGTGTGTGCCAGTGCCAGTACAAGTGGGTGCAGGCACTGGCACCCTCTTTGAGAATGTCCCCCAGGAGGCACTTGGGGAGGTGGTGGCCAGCTGCCCCGTGCCAGGTATGGTGCCTGGCTCACAGGTGATTATCATCGCGGGTCCTGGCTACGATGCCCTCACGGCAGAGGGCATCCACCTCAATGTGGCCGCGGGCAGTGGCACCCCCAGCGGCAGCCTGGGTGAGGAGGTGCCCTGCACCATGATGGAGGGCGTAGCAGCCTACACCCAGACGGAGCCCCAGGGCAGCCAGCCCAGCGCTCTGGACCCCACCTCCGTGGCCAGCATGGAGACCAAGAAAGGTGTGGGGAGCCTCCCTATGGCCTCTGGTGGGGGTCGAGTGGGGCCCAGAGGGGCAGAAGAGTGACCCTGGAAATGGGCTCCTCAGCAGCCTTCGCCCCCTGTGGACACTGCCCTGTGTTCATCCATAGAGAAGGAGGACCTGTACACACTCAAAACAGAGGAGAAGGAGGAGCTGGTGGCCCCACAGCTGGCGGAGCTGGCAACAACAGTGCCTGAGAGTGCAGAGCCCGAGCCCGAGGCTGACGGCGAGGAGCTGGACGGCAGCGATATGTCTGCCATCATCTATGAGATCCCCAAGGAGCCCGAGAAGTGGGTACCAAGGTGATGAGGGTGGGGACGAGGGCCAGGAGCTCGGCACCCTGACACCCAGGGCTCTTCCTCCCCAGGAGACGGCGGAGCAAGCGGTCTCGAGTTATGGATGCCGACGGCCTGCTTGAGATGTTCCACTGTCCCTACGAGGGCTGCAGCCAGGTGTATGTGGCCCTCAGCAGCTTCCAGGTGAGATCATGCTGCAGGCCACACTGCTGGGCTAGTTGGCCTGAGACTCACGGGGACATGGGGTCAGGGGAGCAGGGTGTCCCTGGGAGCCCCCTCACCGCATCTAGTCACAGACCCCTGCACAGCCAGAGAGCTCGCTGGACATCTTCCCCATCCACAAACGGTAAAGATCAGGCCATTCCCCAGGCTGAACTAATGCCCCAGTCCAGAGCTTGGCACCAGCAGGTGCTTGGCAAGCTGCTGACCCCAGTTGTGCCTCTGCAGTCTGAAAGCTGGACAAGCATACCCCACGTTGCTGCTCTGGCCCAGGTTGGCTCCAGCCTGCCTGCCAGCCTGCCTGCCAGCCTGCCTGCCAGCCACCCATCTCCCTACCCTCAGGACCCCTTCAGATGGCCCCACACCCATTCCCACCCCTCTCACCTCCAGAACCACGTCAACCTTGTGCACCGGAAAGGGAAGACCAAAGTGTGCCCTCACCCTGGCTGCGGGAAGAAGTTCTATCTATCCAACCACCTGCGGCGACACATGATCATCCACTCAGGTGAGGCCCCGGGCCAGCCAGGACACAGGCAGGGGCCTGGAGCCAGCACTACAGCTGACAGGGTCTCAGCCTGGCACTGGCCACTCAAGCCACACAGGTCACAGTGTCACAGAAATCATAGGGACCTGGGCAGGAGGTGCCTGCTCCTTGTCTACACCATGAGCAGGCTTCTTAGGGTTGAGGCCGGGTGTGGACAGGGAGCTGCCCTCTCACAGGAGCGCAGCTGCTGGAGCCGCATTTCCTGGGGACTGAGCTACATCCTCAGCTCGGTATTTTGAAACAGGGTCTTGCCAGAGTGCCCAGGTTGGCCTCAGGCATTTTTTATCCTGCCTCTGCCTCCCAGATTTCCAGGGTTACAGGCATGTGCCACCCTACCTGGAGTTATTTTCTTTTCTTTTGTTTTGGTACCAGGAATTGTGCTTTGGTATCAGGACCTTGTGCTTACTAGACAGGCACTGTGCTGCTGAGCTATATCCCCGCCCTCTGGCATTTAAAAAAAAAAATGTTTAAAACATTCTTTTTTGGAGGGGTTGGGGGGCTGGAAAAAATGTTACTTAAGCAAAAGGCAAAGCAAACATTGTAGAAATAGCAAGTGCCAGATGTGACACACACCGGAGACAAATCCAGACCCATCTCAGCAGGGCACTTCGCACCCTGTGCCCCTCGGGATGTGAGGCTGGGCAGCGACTGCCACTTGTTGTCATTGCTGTCTGTTGGAAGGCACATCCGCCCTGGCAGGAGGTGGGGACAGGGAGCCTGCGCTTCTGCCTCAGTGGCACATCGGGGTCACGTCACCCCCCAGCCCCCTGCCAACTGCTTGTTTTTGTTTTTGTTTTTGGTGGAACTGGGGATTGAACTGAGATCCTTGTGTTTGCCAGTCAAGCGCTTATCCTACTGAGCCATCTCCCCGGCCCCCCAACTGCAGTTTTCTCAGTCTCCCTGCCACCTCCAGGTGTGCGTGAGTTCACCTGCGAAACCTGCGGCAAGTCCTTCAAGAGGAAGAACCACCTAGAAGTGCACCGGCGCACGCACACGGGGGAGACCCCGCTGCAGTGAGTGGCTGAGGGCTGGGAGGGAAGGGACTGCGGCGGTCCGCCCCCTCGGCGGCTGGCCCGCCCCTGACCGCCCCTGTTGCTGCCCTGGGCTCGGCAGGTGCGAGATCTGCGGCTATCAGTGCCGGCAGCGGGCATCCCTGAACTGGCACATGAAGAAGCACACGGCTGAGGTACAGTACAATTTCACGTGCGAGCGCTGCGGGAAGCGCTTTGAGAAGCTGGACAGTGTCAAGTTCCACACGCTCAAGAGCCACCCAGACCACAAGCCCACCTGACCCCCCTGGCCGCTGATCATCACCCCTAATTTATTCGTCCACTTGGACACCGTACCCGGACCCTCGAGGGCCTGGACAACTGCGGGGACCACCCACACGGACGCTGTGAAGGAGGCAGCGCTGCCTGTCCTGGCCCAGAGCCAGCATCCCTGGGCGCCCCCACCCTGCCATTGCCTAGTGTTGGAGCTGGCTCCTGGGCCGTGCTGCTAGAACTGTGGAGAGCAGAGCAAGATTAAAGCACGAAGACCGAGCTACCCTTTCCCTAGGCCTGGATTATTTGGGGGGCTGGGCCCCTCTGTATTGACCCCACATGCCACCCGGGACTCTCATGTCGGCCTTCTCACCTACGGGGTCGTAGGCCAAGCAGAGCCCGGTTCCTCTCGGGTGGGGGGTGGGGAACCCGGGAGGCCACCAGAACTGCATGACTCAGATCTTGATGCCTGCTCCTTGTCTCGTGGAACACTCATTCCCCACCCTGAGCTCCCGGAGGAGTTGGGGAGATATTCAGAAAACCCCAGCTGTCGGCAACTACGCGTAGAAAAGAGTGACATGTCGGTTTCTGAGGGTACCGTGTAAGAGGACCTCCCTGAGAAGGTGACATTTGTATATAAGCCAGAATGACAAGAGATTCCACTCCTGAAGAAGGCAGGGAAAGGCAGGTCTCGGGCCGAAGGAGCAGCCAGGGAAGAGCCCCCAGGTTGAGGCCTCCATGCGTTAATAAAACAGGAAGCCGCGGGGAAAGAGTGGCAGCAACCGTGTCCCCATTTCCCGGAGGAGGATGCTGAGGCCACTTCCTCCATGGCCACCACAGAGAGCGGTGAGGATGGAGTCACTGCCGCTAGATGGCGCCCGAGCCGCGCAGGTCCGGGCGGCTGCAGCCACGTAACTCGGGGGACGGCAGCTGGGAGCCCGGGCACGTGCCCCAGGGGAACCTAGTGGTACCGCGCTTGAATCAGCCTCCGCCGGGCCGCAGCTAAGCCTCTGGGGCGGGAGAACCTTCAGTAATATGCGTGTCCTGCTGACTCCGCGCACCTCTTCCCCGCTAGGCTGGGTCTCCTTTCTCCTAGCGTTGCGGGAGCGGCAGTTTCCATGGGAACCGCACCCGGGTCTGCGTGCCCGTAGTAGCCTCGCTCCTAGCGCAACTTCCGATCAGGCCGACTCAGAGGAACCCCAGGTGGAGAGCAGACAAGCCTTCCAGGCAAGCCAAGAGGGGCCACCCGGGGACCCGCACTGTCACCGCCACGCTTGCGCGGGCTGCCTGCACCCTCCTCCAGTGCGGCGGCGGTACGCGCGCATTCATTGGCTACATCTGCGAGCATCTTCCAGCAATTGGGTCCCCCAAAAGCCATTTTTGATTGGCCACTCCTGAGCTCCTCGCCATTGACACTCAGGAGCCTAAAGGGGAGTAGAATAGGGCAGGGGCCGGAGGTCCCTGGTTGGGGCGGCTAGATTCAGTGTCCACGCACAGCCGTCCAACCGCTGTCTGTGGTGCTGAAGCCTCCTAGAAGTCACCCCTCCACCCCGTGTTGGAGAGCGCTGGCTTTTGCGTCTCCTTGCCGCCCCGACGTAAACGTACACGTGCACCCGAGCGGCAGAGGCTGAGCCCATGCTGCTCCACCAAAGACCATCAGGAGCGCAGGAAGCCAGGACGTTTAGTTGGCAGTCCTGCCCACTGGAAGATTACGAGGTCCAAGGAGGATCTGTGGAACTAGAGTGCAGCTCAGGGGTGGAGCGCTTGCTTGGCATGCTCTAGGCACTGGTCTCGTCCACGGCGCTGGAGGATAAGGGAGAGGAGAGGCACATTCGTAGCTGCAGGACTCCACCGAGGATGAACTAAAACCTGCACCTTATTCGAAGTAGTGTGGCATCTCCTTCCCTGGAGGGTACCACTGTCCACCCTTTTAACCTCAGGGACACCAAGCCCACTCCAAACCACAGGTCCCTGCTTCCTTCTGCAGGGACCACCCTAACCACCACCACTCTCACCCGTGGTCTTCATGGGGCTACACCTGTGTCCTCCCCAAATCTGTGGACCCAGGTCTCTGCTTATGAAATGTTATTTCCTTGCCCCTTTCCGGTCCTCTTGATGGACAGCAAGTCCGGAAGGTTACTGTATGTTTGAGCCACCGATACTTTCCCTATCTCTCCGCTTTCCAGATCTAGAAGCTGGTTGGAAGGGAGGAGCCCACCCTGTCTCCCAGGCAGAAAGATTGTTCGAGAAGGGGTACCAAGGCCAGGAAGTACGGTCCGCAGGGCAGGAGGACCAAATCTGGCAAGCCGAGCCTCTAGGATGTGCTTTTTCTTTTCTTTTTTTTTTTTTCTTTCTTTTTTTTTTTTTTTTTTTTTTTGGCGGTGTGCAGTCCAGGCCAGCGCGCGCTCGCTCGCCTCCACCTGCCTAGCCGTCGGGCGCCGCGAGAGGGCGGGGCTCGCGCGCCTCCACCAATCAGGAACGCCGACTCTGGCCGCTGCTTCTATAAAGGACTGGGGGCGGCGGCGGCGCGGCCCAGAGCGCGGAGCGCGCAGCTCGGGCTGGAGGGAGGGAGGGAGGGTGGGCGAGGGGGAGCAGACTGAGCAACCGGTACCGACAGGCCGGACCGAGGGGCAGCAGCGGAAGGTAGAGACGCCGCGATCTCTGTCGGGAAGCGCAACCTCCCCGGGCCCCGCGGGGCCGCGCAGGGGGTGTCCTCCACCCCGCGCCCGCTCCCTCTCTCCATCCCCTGCTGCCCGCAGGCCACCCCGGGGCCCGGCCATCCGCGCGCACATCCTCGGGCTCAGGCCTGTCCCTGGCCCTCGAGGGAGTCGCTGCTCTCCTCGCCGTTTCTGCAGCGGCCGCGCCAGAGGCCGCCCGGGAGGGACGTCGGCGTGAGCATCGGGCGCCCCCCTCGGAGTGCACGACCCCCGGAGCCGCCCTCAACACGGACCGCGCCCGCTGGGCACACAAGAATGGTCACTGTAGGTATTGCCCTGTAGCTGAGAGAGATGGGGTGGAGAGGGGCTGAGTCCAGGCTCCACGGAGATGGAGGAGGTGGGGGGGTAGGACCAGGCCTAGCTAGGCCCCGTGATGGGAAGGTAGGACCGCGCCTCGGTCCTGAGATGTAGCAGGACCGCGCCCTGAGTGCTGGGGGCGCTAAGAGCCTGGCTGGGAGGCCTCGAGGAGCTGGGCTGGATTTAGGGGGGGCGCCCTGGAGGCGGGATCGCTCCCTATCCTGAAGGCCGGTGGGGGAGGGGCCGCGGCGGCGGAGGATGCTTGCTCCATTGGAGCCTGGACCCCGCAGGCCGCCTGGGCACACTTGGAGAGCCCCCGACCCATCACGGGTACATGGCCAGGGCCAGGGTGGCAAGGCATTCCCCAAAAGCTTCGGGGAAGCTGGTGGCGTCGGATCTCTCGCCCCGGGCTCTGGCCGCACCCAGGAGGCGGGCTTCTCGTCCTCGATAGCACCCGTCGACCTTGCGGCAAGCACGGAGGGTAGAGGAGGGGGCGCGCCCCGAGGCCCCGCGGGCCCGCCGCCGCTGCGTCCCTTTGTTTCTCAGAGCTTCTTCGCGGGCCGGATCCTTGCGCGGGCGCCTCGGGCTGCGGGGAGGGGGAGGGGAGAGGAGGGCTTGTGGGGGGAGACGCTTCCTAGATCCTGGGCCCATCTCGCCTCCCCAGGGAGGTGAGTTAGGGGACCGAGGCAGTCCCCCAGACCAGGTCCAGGCACTGAACCTCGCCAAGGACCCTGGGCCTCGGGGTGACCTTGAACGCGCCCGCCCGCTCGCGCTGCTCGCCCCGCGCCAGGCGCTTTCAGCAGCCAAGAAGCTGGTCAGCTCCTGAGCGCGCGCCCCGCCCGCAGGGCCACGCCCCACCACGCCCATCTAGGGCCCGCCCCCAGGGCCCCGGGGGGCCCGGCCTCGCCGGAGCCCTTGGATCTCCAGCCGCCAGCCCGGGCGTGTCCCAGGGGCGTGGCCGGCCGGTTCTAGCCCCACCCCGGCTCCACCCCCGCCCCTGCCGCGCGACTCCGCTCCCCGCGCCGCCCGCGTCCTTTGTCTGGTCCCGGCGCCCGGGCCTCCCTTCTCGGTTCTTCCTGTCTCTTCATCTCTGCGTAGTGTCTCTGGACTGTGTGTCTCTTCCTGACCCCCACCTCTCCGATTTCTAGTCCTGCACAGCGTAGTGGGTGTGGGATTGCTCAGGGCTCCCTCCAAGTCTGGGCCTCTCCTCCTGGACCCTGGGACCCGCCCACCTGGCACTGAGAGAGTCCCCAGTTCCCCAGCTGTGTGACCTGGGGCCTCCTCCTTTCCATCTCTCTGGTGACCCTCGGTACGGGAGCGTGGCCTCCTGAGGACTCTTGGAGTCCCCCGACTATCAAACACCCCCTAGGCTGCCTTCTATCTGTTTTGCGCTTGAAGAAAGGGAAAGTGGTGCACAAAGGGGAAGAGGGTGTGGTCAGAGGTCACACAGGGCTTGAGGCTCTCGGGGACCTGGGGACTTCAATGTGGGGACACTGAGGCGGTGACGTCGCGGGGATAGAGGGTAAGGCAGTGAGAGGATGAGTTGAGACCGTGAGGGCCCAGCATGGAAGGAGAAGGACCCAGAAGTAGGAGGCTCAGCCTGCACCACGTGGTAGTCCAGTCCTCTGGGGCCCAGCCAGTCAGTGCTTTATTGTCGTTGGTACCCAAGCATCTGCCAGTGTGACCAGGGTCCGGGTGCACGGCTGGGGCAGCAAGGGTCAAACGCAGAGGGTCAGGAGCAGTTGGTCTCAGGTGCGTTTGCTCACAGCAAAGTCCTGTGTCAGAGGTATAGGTAATGGTGGAAAAGAGAGAGGAGTAGTGGAGGGAGGAGGAGTGGGGCAAGGTGGGCAGTAGGGTGTGAGAGACTGAGGGGAAGAGAAGAGAAACGGAGAGAGGCAGAAGCCACGGTGAATGAGGCCAGAGGCAGGCTGGAAGGTTCCCTGGTCCCTGGCAAGCTCAGCCTCTCCATCTTGGCGTGCGCTCCAACCTTCCCGCCTCCGCTCCTTCTTGGTGCTAGACTGGGCCCTTTGATGCCATCAACCCAGGCCGCAGACCTGCTGCACTGCTCACTGGGGCAGGGAGGGTGCGGCTTCTGCCAATCTGGTCCCCATTATGGGCTCAGCCAGCTTGGCCGATGAGGGCACAATGTGATACTAAGCCCTGTACACCCCTGGACAGATGGGAGAAGGTACTGGTGAGATAAGTAAGCTGTGCCAGGTGGACATGTCTGTAATCCCAGTACTCTGGAAGGCCAAGGT